ACTTCAATTCGGGCGCTTCCAATGAGCGCGTCACCTATGAGTGCGTCCGTTGTGACCGGAGCGACCAGAACAACTGCTCTGCGCCGCGCGTTCACATTCCTGCAAAAACTGCAACAAGCGGAGCAGGCCGTCAGCACGACGGCCTCTTCTCCGCCGCTGTCAGCTGTTTCCGCGGCGCCTTTTAAGAAGAGGGGACACGCTGCCGTTCACTGGTGAAACAAAAAATGGTCAGAGTTTTGTATGGGCTCAAGCTTTATTTGTTTTTATTTTGTCAGGATAGGTTCGCAGGGCCGAGTAAATGAAAAAGAAAAGAAAAAGATGTCGTACGCCGTCTTGAACGATCACGACCTTACCACACGACTTTACCGATAGCACAAATCTCACCAAACGCCCTTTTTTACGATTGCAAAAAAAAATCGATGTAATCTTAGCAGCGATATAGCAACGTAGAAATATAATTTCGTGATCACATAGACCTCGTGTGAGTTCAGGACTGCTAACACTAATCACTTTTCTAGGGTAATGAAAACGCGTCAAAGTTCGCATCCTTTAAATACCTTGAACTTGAACACACGCATGGAACGCGCAAAATAAGAAATCCGGGTGATATTCTAGGAAAAAAATGCTAAGAGAGCATAGCACCACTGTAGTCGAAGTTAACAAACACGACATCAGGAGCGTTTCTGCTGTCTTGAGGGTGCCGCCACAATATCGCCGCACGAGTGGATGTATCTTCCCGTCTAGGACGTGCTGGGTTATCGCGACACATGACGAGAATTCAGTCAGATAGTTGTCTACCCGGAACGATGAGCTTCCACCACGCCGACCACGTCGCCGATCACAACCGACGCCATGTTTATCAGCATATAGCATGAACCGTGACCGGCATATAACGCGCTCGGCCGAGCTATCCTTAGCAGACTACTCTTGTGGGTTGACAGCACAGGCGCATTCTGATCTTTCTCTTGCTTCGTTTACCACACGATAGATGGCGCATGGCTTCGAGCATTATACAATTTGTCAATTTCCTTCACATCGCTAATTATGCTACAAAATATAGATCAGAATATTCTTTAAGAAATATGATGAGGTAGGTGACGTGGATTTGGTTTATGTGCTTTGGCACCGCAGATGTATCGCAGTGAAAAGGCAGAGAGCTTTCGAAGGAAAGAAGATATAAAAGTATACGCTTTGGTTTCAAAAGTTCTATGGCGAACTTTTTTCTCTCTGTTTGTGTGTTTTTTTTTCTACGTGCGCTCAACTATTTCGAAATCGTGTCATGATCCCTTTAAGCACTTAGGATTGACAGACTTGTACCAAGTTAAGCGCTTCTCTGGCGTGCTACCTGGGTTCAACATTAAAAATTAATGGTATGTGCGTCTGGGAATATACAATGTTAAGCTAAGAAAATACTTTAACGTTTAGCAACCCATATTCAAATGCGGCACTTCTTTACCTTATACAATGTTGCAGTCACGTAAATATGTAAAATCCTTAAAAACCTTTAAATAGGAACACGTGCCAAAAATGTGTAACCAGTCTAGCAGATTAATTTTTAACCTGTTCGGATATGGCTTATATACCTTTCTATCTCTCTGTGCCAGCTCGTGTCGTGTGCACGTCAGGCGTATAAATATTCCGATATTTATGTGTCGTTGTCATCGCTGGCATGAATCCTAAATCACTGGTGAAACGTCTGTTGGCATTCAAGCAATTAGTTATGCAACGCAGTTATTAAAGAGCCGCACCGCGCGTTTTACACAACGGCGGCCAAGCTTTTTATGCAAGAATTCTACTCATCTCACGAAAAGAAGATTGATACTATGTTTGTTTTTGTCATTAGGAGAATTTGTTAACAACCGCAGTGTTTATGATAATTATATTTTTATTAGGTTCGCGTGAATAACTCATCTGGTGAAAATAAACTTATATTTCCAATTCGAAACTTTCCGTACACCCACAAAAACATTGAGACAGTCAGGTTAGGGAAAATGTAGACAACGTGCTTAAAATTTCTGGGTTCCGAAAGCGCGAGCAACGTCGATGGGCCAGCGAGACTTTCTTTGTTTCTTATCCTACGCATTTTAACTTGGCCTAACCTGCAGCTCTTGCATAATCTGTAAGTTTATGGACCGCCGTGCTTCGCAGAAGCTTCCTGTCTTCCTTAAATTGAGCTATCTACTGGTTTTCCTTGACGCTTTAGTTTAAACTGAAAAAAAGATTTTAAAATACAAATTAAAAAGTTAGCTTTACCTTGCATAATGAAATAAAACATATGCTTAAGTCATGAAGGGTTTATTTACCACCAATTCTTTACATCTGCTTTACTAGGCAACTTGCTGGCACCTGATAATGCTTCAATGTTTTAAGTATGCGATGCATTGTCTTCGCTTAAATATGTAAAAAACGCTTCGTGAAAAAAAAAAACTTCAATTGCGCAGCTGGTTATTAAGTAATCATAAAATAACAGCCTAAATAATTATCGGTCAACACAATATATTTTTTCGGTAGATTCTCTTGTTTGAAACAAATATGCAGTTTTGTCAATGATTATTAAAAAGAAAGTGGACCTTAACAAATTCCGAAAAATACCCGAGATAAAAGTTTCTTGTGACAAAATATATGATTGCGAAAGTGAATATCTCATAATTGATCTTTAAATTGAAAGCATCTTATGCGTACTTTGAGTTACTTTTGGCATCCTTTCAACATATTACGCACTTTGTTTGTAAAAAAAGACTTATTAAATCTTAGATTATTTTGACCTAGCATGTCATGCAAATACCTAAACGTTAGGTGTACGTATGAACTATGTGCATTTCATACTACCTTAACCAATAAACTAAAGTAGCATTCCTAGATCCATATATATGCTGAAAAGCGCCACAAAAGTTTCGTATTTGATAAATATTCAAAAAAGGGAGCAGAGCGCGCAAGCCGCGAGGAAACAATGAAATAGAAGAATACAGTACTATTACTGACTTTCCAATGGTACGTTTTATGGAAAGAAACAGAAATGAGGACTTAAAAACACTCAGTCATGGTCTATCGACGCATACCAAGAAAGGCGATCTCCTGCCCATGTAAATGAACCAGTACTTGGCTGACACATCGGTCCTCCTTCTTTTTTGATGCAGAACCTTCTAGAATTTCTCTGGCACTGATTCCCCCTCCCCTTTTCAATGATGGCTACGGTATAAAAGTGAGGGCGACACCCACAATCTGCACAGAATATAGAAAGAGACTCCCCCACGCTGTCGATCACAGGGTCCAGTCATGCTCGCTTTTTGTCAGGTTTATGCACCTTCCTGTCTGTCCGATGTACGCTCGGCCACAGGTCTGAGGAATCTTGGAAAAAACAAATACAGGACAATGTACATATTGTTTTTTTATGTTTTACTGAACATGTCTGCTTTTTCCCACACTTGTCTGCAACTCTGGGCACAGTTGTGGCAACTTTGATGGTGCCGAAAACACCACCTAAAACATCATACCTAAGTGCAAGTTCTTAAGGTTGTAAGAGTTTGGACATGGAGGACACTGCGCAGATTGTGGTAGTTGCCATAACTTAGATAACGTCAACATCACTGAAAGGGGCGGCTATGAGAGTGCCAGAGAAATTACAGGAGCTTACGCCATCAAAATGGAAGGGTTGGACCGATGTGTCAGACAAATATCGGTTTATTTGCTTTTATTGGAGATAGTCTTCCTTGGCATGAGTTGACAGACAATGACAGTTGATTACCTCTGCTGCTCGCTTTTTCTTTCCAGTAAACACATCACTTGAAACTCAGCGCTAGTCCCCTTCCGTTCTGTTTCCTTAACTCCTCGTCGTTTGGCGATCTTTTCCATTTTCGAAGTATGTACAAACTAGCTCGCATCGCCAACCTAAATATTTAAGTAGTGTCATTCTGTCACTTTTTTGGCCCAGCATATATTTTGTGGGAGGTCTATACATAAGGTTCCTGAATTTAAGCTTTAATGAATTTATGCCTTTGTATTTCTTAAGATGTTTATCCTCTTCAGCGACATGATTACTGCGGCGTGGGCGTAAAGCGTCTGACTTTAATAAAATAAAGAGCTTCATTACTGTTATAAATATACAAAAAGTATACATATATTATAACGACCCCATGAGGCAGTTTCTGTTTCACATCTTGCAAAGCTAACTCCTTAAAACCGGGTAAATATTGCCTCCGAAAATATTTACAATTTAAATATTTTCACGTAAAGCCGCGTTTCATGTGTAATTATAAGCATTAGTCTAAGGCTTTAATCATGGTTTAAAGAGGAAAAGCCTTATAAAACTTTTTTATGAGTCATATAAGTGTATGGTTTTTGCCACTAATTACTTATTTGGTATTTATCACAAACTCTTAAATTTTGGTTTCTCCTAAAAAGAATTTTCGGAGCTATGCCGTAGCGATTATTTGTTGCGTGCTTGATTTTATCTTTGCTTAATGAAACTCTAAAGTTAATTCAATGATCTCTTCGGAAGTCTCCAGACCAATGTAAGACTAAATACTAAGAAAAGACTTTCCCAAAGCACACGAGTCTTATTTTTGGTATGTTACTAACACAGCACTGCCCATTCGTGTTAAAACAAATACCAAGTTTTCCTACATACCATTGGTCAAAGACATAGATGTATGGTGTCTCGTTCTTACTCTCGTCCATGTCTTGAAGCGCTATCATGTTCTCAAAGTTTCAGCACCAACTGGCCTAAGAATCCGCATTACTAGATATATGGGTCCGAACTTCTGCAGACCCGGTTTGTGTTTTAAGCGCATCAGGCACGTAGCCAAGGGGGGGGGGCATGGGGCCCGGGCTCCCCCCTCCCAAAACTTCTATTTCGCTGGGACATCCTCTCCCCCCTCCCCCTCATAGAGCATCTTGTCATGGGTGGGCCCCCCCCCCCCCCCCCATGCCTGACGTGCATGTTCTTGTTGTGGTCTAGTTGAAAGTCATACACTTATCCGGAAATTTTGTTTGCTCGGCAGAACCCTCCGTACACAATGCTCAAGAAGGATGCCCACCTCAGAGTGGGAAATGACCGGTTCGAAGGATATTGTGTCGACCTGATGGACGCCCTGGCCAAGAAGATAGGATTTCAGTATTCACTTCACTTAGTCAAGGACGGTCTGTATGGCTCTCCAACTTCCTCTGGCGAGTGGAACGGCATGATACGAGAGCTGATTGACAGGGTGAGGCTGGACATAAATATTTCCACCGTGGAATAGCCATGTTCCCGTTTAAACTTCTACGAGCAGGATTCCATCGCTTCTTATAACAAAAATAACAATTATAACAAATATTAGTTTATATGTGTGCCATAATTGTTCGTACTCATCTTATTTGTTTGTGTGCTTCAAATATAATTTCTCTAAGAGTCCAAACCATTCGGACGTGCACATCAGACACCACTCTGCTACACAGCTTACAGTGGGCTCCTACGTCTGCATAGATATGATCAATATTTCTCGTCAAGGACATTAAAACTAGTGAAGTCACCGGACGGGCTATTTTTAATTGTGCTTAATAACTTGGCCACTGTAATTTCCCGCATCTAAATAGAAATAAACTATGCATGGTTTCCTCTTCAGTAGGTACATGTGACAAATTATTTGCCTTGTTCGCTGTGCACATTCAAAATATTGTTCTTGTCGCAAAATTTTGGCTTTCAAATCAAAAGCTTATTTATTTACACTGAGATTTAAAAAAAAAAATTATATTATTATTATCACACTGTCTACTGAGAAGCGTACTTTTATGTTCGCAACGGCATCTCTCCCATGTTTAAAAATTATTTCTATAAGGCTTAAAAGTATAAAAAATTGATTTTTTATCTATTCTACGACTTATGGAAAAATCGAGACATATCCCTTCTGCGCACTGAACACTTATGGTTTGGTTAAATTACTGCGTGCCTCCAGTCACATGTACGATTCATAGTGGGATGTGATATATTTAGTATCTATTAGCTACTAACTGCAATATCGGAGTTACTACAGAGCTTTAGAGTACCCTCGTGTATAGAGCACAAGTGGAACTGGGCTAAATGCCACTTTGCATTGGCTTAACTCGAGCAACGCTTTGAGAATTGGATGCGCGCGGTGTTTTTGTAAAGGACATGGGTAATCAAACTCTCCGCAAAGCAAATGAAATGCTCTCGGTTCAATTATATACTGAATAGAAAAAAGAAAAAAAACATGCGCCGATTTAAGAATATTGTAGCATACGGTATAAACAAAGAGGAGATATTTGTTGCTGTGAAAGGACATGGATTTATTAGGGTACCGTGCGCCACAAACTTAACGCCGCCATGGCATTTGCCGTTTCTGACAGTCCCTGCGGCGGCCGATTGAACTACCTGAAGAATGTTTGGGTTCTCGATTTCTATCCCCTCCTGAGAAGGCACCCCGATCGTTTTGGTGACAGATTTATTAGTAAGTAGCCAACTCGAGCTCAATATTTAGGAACCCAGTGGCGGAGCTAAGTTTGGGGGGCACTTTATTCAATTTTGCTAGCAGAGTAAAACTGCGAGTAGAGCTCCGCGGCTCTGGAAACGCAACAGGATTGCGTTTTGGGTTACGGTACAAACCCGCTTCTCCAAAACGCTTTTGTGCTATCTTTGGTAATGTCGTTTTTAATTAGGTCATAACGTGCGCAAAAATTAAGTATGGGGGTGATTTCAGATAAGATCGACCAAAGGGTGGCTGGTCGACATTTTTAAATCAACTGATGTTTTTATATGACATTGTCTAGTGTCTGGTATAAACGAATCCACACTTAGTTTTGACCAGAAACAAAATTTGGAGACAAGAAAAATCGTAAGGCAGGGAGAGGTGAACAGTTGCAATAACGCGCACTGATGGAGGGGGCAAGTTTGAAAGTGAATAATTAAAACAATAAAATTAGGAGAATTTTAAAACTTTTTACAAACAAACTATGGGTACACCTTGCTTGTAATATAAAGTAATAATATTTATTAAAAATTTATTTAGTTTTCTAAAAATTGCCAAACATGCCTGCTCGAACGACAAATGGCAAATTTTGGAAATCTGTATCTCATGAAATAATTTAATCATTATTACATAACTTGCAGACATTATTTTACTAATATATGGCTATTATTGAAAAAATAAATAAGGTATCTGAGTGACACAATAGTTACAATATATTTAGGCAAACATGGGAAAAAAATCAAACAAAGAAAAATTCCAATGCGAATAAAAAAAAAAACACCACCCCAAGTAGCACAACTCGCTGGTTTGGGAATGGGGCGTTACCGGTCTGCCGGCAAGATCCTACTGGCCCGACGCTGGAAACGCCCCGTGGGGCGACAACGGGCCAGTGAGATTGCCAGTCACTGGCCAGCGACTGGGACTGACTGGGACGCCCGGCACTGGGCGTCCCAGTGAGTTCCCGGGATGCTGCCAGCCCAAACCCCCAGCGTAGTACCAGTAATACGGTAAGATACCAGCAAGACCCCAAGCTAGCGGCCTCAAGCCATACAGTTCCCGGTCTTTTTTCCCAGCGAGTTCCCGGGCTGCTGCCAGCACAAATCCCCGGCATAGTACCAGCAGTACCGCAAGATACCAGCAAGACCCCAGGCTAGCGGGCTAAAACCATACAGTTCACGGTCTTGTTTTCCACGCTAACATTTGGTTTTGTGTGCAATTCACACCTGAATAGAAATGATGTAGTTCATAACAAGGGTTATTTTAACACGTAATGTGTGTAAACAATAAATGAAACATACAAAATTGTTACCGTCATTGTTTATTGTCAGTTGCAGTGAAGCTACAGTCGGCTGGTAATCATGCGCTTGTCGCCAGAGGAGTGCGCTGAATGAAAGAGGCTGCATGTCACGGGCTTAGGAAATTTTCTTCACACTTCTCATGCAGCTTGTGATGCAAGTCGACCATGCACCCCAGAAGGCAAGTCCTTCATTACAGCACCTGTAAAGAGAATCGACACCACAGTAGAATGACAGGGTAAATCAATACCAGCTGGACATGACAATCCAGAATTTCCAAACTGGGGTGAGGGGCATGAGACAAGCAGCCCATGTAAAAGGAAATTTTTTTTTAGCTAATGCACTAATTGTCTTTATTTTATTTTCAATCTGGAAACTATATCAAAACAAGAATCCCTAAGGGACACACCTGTAACAACACACTGGATGACCAAGGGGCGAAAACGGTCCAGTTATCTCATAATCAAGGTCAGCTATTTGTATGAAAAAGGCCCACTTCAGAGAAAGGCTTGTGGAAATCATCTATTTTAATTCAAAAGGGCATGTCGAGAGACGGGCGAGCTTGGCAGAGTAGTTGGCATGTTGTTTAACACTGACGTTTGTTACGATAGGTGTGCAGTCCCCGATATCCACATTCAGCATTTTTAGGTAAACATAGCGATTCATTAGCATTACTGAGACAATGACAAATCATATCCTTGACATATACAGCTCACCGTTGTACACATACTAATGAGATTGGGTAAACACAGGTAAACATGTAATGCATTGCAGAGTATGACACCCCGGTTCCCACATAATGGCAACTTGACGACTAAAAGTCATCTGCAGACTTCATGAAATAAAAAATAGCGACTTACACAAAAACTAGTATATATTATCAGCGTCCACCATCAAACTCACATTGAGTGTTTTCCATCGGCATGCCCTAGCCCTTTAAAATGCCTGCAAGCCTCATTTACTTTAAGCATATGCCATCCCACGAGATGAAACATTCCCTCGTTATCATCATTAAGATGTCTACAGGTGCGAACAGTTCAGGAATATCAATTGAAAGATACCAAATCAGTAGTGAGGTAGTGTACAGTGGCTGGTAGATGCAGGTTAATATGTATGGGACATCTATTTTCTAAGTGATATTGTTTATCTGGTCAATTTTCTTCACATACCCATCACATACTGGGACAAGGTTCTCAATACAGTGGAAAACAGGAAGGATTGAGTTCCAGATTTAGTTTTGCACAAGTTATGTGGCAACTGACTTCATCCTCTTAGAATTTATTAGAGTGGATCTGGGTGTAATGATGTCTAGCCCGACAATACTGCCAGGAGCACATGTCCCAAAACCTTCAGAAACGGGTAGAGGAAGTTTTAATCATAATTTCCGTATTGCGATGAGAGCTGCTCACACTGAGAATTGATGTGAGCAGTGTCGGCCATCCCTCTGTCTGAAATATCTATGCGTCAGCCACCCCCTATCAGAAAAAGTTTTAGCTGAGCGCTTTTTACGGCCCGCTCTGCTCAGCCACTGAGCGGGAAATTAACCAGGCATGCACGTAACGCTCAGTCGGCAGTGGCCATAGGGGTGCAGGAATTGTCTTCTCCATCGGCATCTGCGCTCCGGTTGGTCGTTGCTGACTGAGCGTTGTGTGCATGCAAGTGCTTTCCTTTTGAGTGGAGCGGGTCTAACAATGCTCAGATAAAACTATCTAATGTCTATGTCGCAGCCTCAACAGCCAAACGAGCAGTCTTCTTCCTCGCTTGCACAATAGACCAAAATTGCACAGCATGCTGCTTTAGAGGCTTGTTGGCATGTTTCACACTCACTCTCTGCAGACAGCTAGGACTATCGGTAAGCGAGGGGAAAAAAAAGTGCGAACACATATCATGCATGCCAAAAGAAAACATCAATGGGACTACACGAGACTGCATTAAAGTTGCCAATTGGGCGCGTTTTATACTGCACAGCCACTGGCTGAATCACATAAGTGTCACACTTGCCGAGCTTGAAGTGCAGTCGTGATCTTTACGAGTGTGAACAAGCGATCGTCGACTGTTCAATACTGGGAGCATCATGCTCCAGCGGACTTGCTCTCCTTTTAAAATGCCTTGCGAACCAAGCATGGTAAGTCATCTGATAAGGAGAGAACGTCACCACGGACAGCACTGAGCAGTTGATAATCACCTACTTACCATCATATGGATCAAGTCTCTACTTGGCCAAAGTAGGCAGTATGTGTGCAGCAGAAACGGCTGTACTGAAATCTCAAAAGGATGAAAGATCAGAACAGGCTTGGTGAGGTTTCACGTTGCAAGTATGCCCATGCAAATTTCACTTTCTAAAACATAAACACGCATTTCAAATTGTCATCCAGGACAAGCTGCTATTACACAGCTGTATGTATAAGGCAGCTTACCATCAACAACCTTCGCAGACTGCCATGG